GGAGGGAGGGAAGGGGGGGCGGCTCAGGCCGCGCTGCTCATGAGCCGGCGGCGGCGGGGGGTCGCGGTCGCCCTCGCCGGGGGCAGCGGAGCCGTTCGCGGCGGCGGCTCGGGGGCGATGCCGGCGGATTTTCCTCACTGGAGTAGCGGAGCATCAAACATGGCGCTGCGGCCGCCTCCAGCTGTCCGGCCGGGCGGGCGCTCGGGCGCCTTCGGGCCGCTCCGGAGCCGCTCGGCCCAGAGCCGATCGGCGACCTTCGGCTCTTTCCGGAGTCGCTCGGCCCACGGCTGATCGGCAATCTTCGGCTCTTTCCGGAATCGCTCGTCAGCCAGCGCCGCTCGGCAAACCTCGGGTGCTTCCGGACAGGCTTTCGCGCGCGCATGCGCCTTGTCCTGAACTCCCTCCCTCCCATCTCGGCCCGGCACCTCCCGTGACCCCCGCGCTCGGTAAACTCCGTCTATTTCCGGAAGACGAGCGCGTGAGACACTTCGGGAATCTTCGGAGGGGCTCGGAAGAGGGAATCCCGCCCCGCTCGAAGCTCTTCGGAGCTTCTCGGCGATCTTCGGAATCCCTCGGTGTCGGCGCGGGCACAGCTTCGGGCGCACTCGGCTCGGCTTGGAGAGACTTCGGCAGCGCTTGAGGATGAGGGGTTGGCCCTAGGCTGTCACGGGCTCCTGGGTCCCTCAGCAGCCACCCCACTGAGGGCTTCCCCTGCCCGAAAGCTCACCCCCAGCCCCAATTCTTGGCTTCTGGAGGGGCTGGAAGAGGCAGCACCGCAGCCCCCCTGAGACATCGTGAGGGCCAGCAGCCCTGAATGCAACATGGAAGCCTGGGACCCCTGGTACCCCCTTGGCTGTGAAGGGTCCCGCAGTATCCACCCTAGTGCGGGCCCGAGGAAGGGACTTACCTAAAATCCTCACCCCCAGCTCCATTACCAGCCCTACAGCTCCCAGCCCCAATTCCCTGCTCCTGGGGCAGCTGACAGGGGCCACACTGCGGCCCCTCATGAGGGCAGACAGTCCTGAGGGTGACGGGGTGCCTGTGAGGGACCCCGGGGCCCCCCAAGGCAGCCCACCTGTGGCAATGGGGCTCTTGCAGGCCTGCCCTTGTGGGGAGATGTGTCCACCTGACCCCACGTCACACCAAGCCATCACCCCCTCCCAGGGTAGCCACACCACCACCACCACGTTCACCATTTCACACCTAACCTGCAGAACCCTCCTCACGGCCACCACCTGAGCTTGGCAGCGGCCAAGGTGGTTTGTACCATCTCAGGGAGATAAAAAGCACCTCAGAACAGATTCCCGCAGCTGCCAGATTGTCCTGACTTGTCCTGCCTTGCCGCTGGCTGCCGAGGGCTCATTCCAACCCGCTGGCACCTTCCAACGTTTCCTGCTGCGCTGCACGTCCCAGGGAGACGCTCCCAGCACCTTCGCTGTGCCCACAGGTATTGCTGCCCCAGTCACCAGCCTGGGGTGCTGCTCTAGGAAATCTTCCCAGAGCTGATTTGTGTCCCGTCTGCTGCAAATTCTGAGCAACTACAAGTTTAGGAGGAAGATAATGCTTTAATTCAATCACAAATAAACGTGAAAAGTTTTTTTTGCTGAAGTGAACAGCTCTCATGGTGGTGTGTTCAGGCACCTGGAGAGTAGCTGGTACAACCACAAGCTGAGAGAAGAGGTCTTGTGCACTGAAGAAAACCTACCTGAGAAGTCACATCCGTCCCTGTCTGTGCAGTGGTCCTGTTTATACGCAGAGAAGTAATTTTAAATATAAATCTGATGATGGAGAATTTGGACTGGTTGTTGTTCACTGGAGCAGAACTCAGCACAGTGGGTGAAAGATAGTAGAAGGGTCTTGAGTACATTTTCCCTTTGGAGTCAGACTCTGAGTTATCGAGCAATGGGGTTGTGCAGGGCAGGGTTAGGACACCCAAGGATTGCAGTGTGTCCAGAAGCTCTCCCTCCTCTGAGGTGTGTTCTCAGAAGGAAAGCTGGGAGCTGCCATGCAGGTCTCCATTAAAAGCAGCCCTGCAACTGGAATACTTTATCACTTACTCACATGCTACCCCGAGGGTACAGCCACCTCCTGCAGTGCCAGCAGGCATTAGTGGGGCAGGGGAAGGTGATCATGTGCTACTTAGTGTCCCTTTCTGTGCTCTTTGTTGAGCATATTTTTATATGGTAAGGGAAATACCTGGGAGGAGGTGAGCTCATACATACCTCACACTGTCTGTGGGAAATGGGGGTAAATAGGAAACACTGAGATTTCTTTTCGAGGGGAAACACCCAACCAAGCCCTGCCAAACTGTAAAGAAGTCCTGACTGGGGAATATTTCTGTCTGAACCCAGGAACAAATATTTAGAGGGGGCTGTGGCTGCTTTTTCTGAGTCAATTTTCCTCAGCAGCCTTCAGCCTGCCATATTAACTAATTCCCCACCAGGAAAACTGAAGAGAGAAATAAGAATGACCAAAAAGAAAGGCCAACTACTCCTCCACTCCCCAAAAATGGGAGGAACTTCTCTCATGATATGAGATTTGCCCAGGTACTAAGAGATCTCCCAGCATCCCAGAGAGCTGCGGTGTTCACAGCACACCTCTCCTGCTGGGAAGACAATTCTCCCTCCACAGCTGGTAAAGACTTGGCTGTTATTACTTGGAGGGTGCAAGTAGAGCTGTGTGTTCTGGGGGGACTGGTGCCATTCCATGACCACCTCCTGGCACAGCCCCTCTCCAGCTACCCCCCTTTGCATGGAAGGAAATTAATCTCAAAAGCAAATTGACATCCATGGCTGCCTCTGTTCTACAGAAATAGCTGCCTGTAAACACAGCTGCAGAAGAGCTTCCGAACTCCAGGATCTTTGGATGTGACACTTTTTGCCTATTTAGAAAAGAAAAAAAAAAAAAAGGCATTTTCACCATATTGTCTGCTGAAGCTCCCAAAATGTGCTGGCCAGGCAGAGGAGCCAGGCTCCCAGCTCTGCCTTAAAGCCCTTCCACAGTCAAAGTCTCTCCCCAGCCATGTTTTTCCCTTTTTTTTTTTTATTTTTTTCCTGAGAAGAAAAAGCAGCTATGTCTCCCTTCTACCCTACGTAGGACGATTTGGCCAACAAATCCTGCAGATTTTAGAGCCTGAGTGAGTTCCAGCTGGATTCACACCCTTCTTGCCGCCTCTCCATTTTGTTTTTCCTCCTCTTTTTCCTGCTAGCTCTGTTAGCACCTGGGAACTGATGTGTCACCGTGGGCAGCTGGAGCCTGCAGTGCTGAGCTCCTGTTTCAGAGCATCACCAGCCCTTTTTCCAGTCCCACCAGTGTCTCGTGTACCTGCCACAGCAGAGACACAAGCCCACAGTACAGAGTGTAGTAGGAATGCTAGAGCTGTTGGTGAACTTAGGAAAATACAGGATTGGGGTATCCCCTGAAGGGATGCTTGTGAAGAGAAAAGTGTTAAAGCACAAAGCCATGGTCCTCTGAGTGAGTGAGGAGATACAGCCTTCTTGTTGACTCAGCCTGGCTCTGAGTGAAAACCCAGTGATCAGAATGAGCAGGTCCCAGATGCAAGGTGGGATTTGGAAACCTGCTCCCCACCTCCCACTCCCTATCCTCCCACCTTCAGGAACGTATGGCTTGTTCAGGGAAGCTTTTGGCCCTAAAATCTGATCATCCCACTACATGACCTCAGTACTGTTGTGGTGTGTCAGGGGTCAGATCCTACCTGGAGGGAACAAAGCAGGAAGGAGAGGGGCAGCTCAGATGGCTGGGTTCAGGCTCTCACCTCTCACCAGCTGTCTTGGCCCCACCAAACCTATGAACAGCCCCCATTTCCAGCTCTGTTTGTAGGCTTCAGCATGCTCCAGGTGCCTGCTTTCACCCAGCACAGCAGCACCTCCCTCTTTTGGCTTCTCCTGCTTTTCCCTGCACTGTTCCTCTTCCAACACCCTCCAGACAAAAAACCCCACACAATAAAAAAAAAAAAAAAAAAAAAAAAAAAAAAAAGACCCTCTTTCTCTTACCAACCCCCCCCGACAAAAAACCCCCCCAAAAAAAAAAAAAAAAAAAAAAAAAAAAAAAAAGGTCCTGCTTGGAGCTTTCCCATTCTTCCCCCTGCCCAGGCTCAGCCCTCAGCAAACAACGTCTCAGCCCTCCAGGGCACAGCTGAGCACAAAGTAAAGTGAATACCACCCAGGACCAGGCAAGCCCACACCAGGCGCTGGCACAGAGCAGGATGATTCACCTCCTGCCCACTCTCTCTGTGCCCACAGCCTCCCAGGGAGGAAAACTCCCTCCACCTGAGCCCGGCATGGGCAGCCTTGACCAGGGTGTCCCCTACCACAACACAGCTCATGGTCACCCTCGAAGTTCTTCCTGCCCTGGGGCTGTCCCTGAGCCATCACCTGCCTGGTCTCTCCCTGCAACTAAGTCCCAGAGAGCCAAAGTGTTTCCTGTTTGGATGGTCAAACCACTTCTAACAGCATCTCCATGTGACGCCTGTGCTCCCTTCCTTGCTCTTTTGCAGCTGGGAAAACACCCTCTCACCCCAGCCCCACTCTATTCCTCTTTGCCTTACACCCACACTGTTTTTCTCTTTCCCTAGGAATGCAGGTATTCCACCACAAGTTAAACACGTGGGGCCACATCCAGACCAAACTAGGACTCCGGTAACGTCGCTGGTTCCTGCCAGCCAAGCACTGGAGTGTGCAGGCAGCGATTTTCTCGGCTCCACTGCCCTCTGCGGGTTTGCGCCATTTCCAGGCAGATCTCAGGGAAAACAACGGCCTCGGCTGCTCTCAGCGCTGCAGGAAACAGAGGGCCTCACACCGAGTCGTGCAAGCAGAAAGTGAGTGCTATTACTACATTTTGATTCCATCTGGGTGAGAAAACACGGTAAAAACAGTCAGAGAGGTATTTTAATGTCTTACTTATGCAACACCCGTGTCCCCAGCTCACTGCTGGCTCAGTTCTGC